AAAACCTGGGAGGTGGAGGTTGCAGTCAGCTGAGATTGCACCACTGTACTCCAGCCTGGGCAACACAGTGAGACTCCATCTCAAAAACAAAACAAAACAAAAAAATCTTTGTTTTGGAACACTGCCACAGCCACTGTCGGTGGCTGCCTTCACACTGCAACAGCAGAGCTGGGTGGTTTCAACAGAGGACAGATTTACCATCTGACCCCAGTGCTTGACTCTGAGCACCCCAAGGGAGGTTCCTGGGCACAGCTAGTCTCTACTGGGTCCTCAGCTCCCAAGCAGTGCTTGGCTCTTCATCTTTTTAAAAATTGTTTATTGTTTTTTTTGAGAGAAGGTCTCACTCTGTCGTCCAGGCTGGAGTGCAGTGGTGTGGTCACAACATCTCACCACAGCCTGCACCTCCTTGGTTCAAACAATCCTCCACGTAGTTGGCACTCAGGCATATACCACCACGGCTGGCTAAATTTTTAATTTTTTTTTTTTTAGAGACAGTCTCACTCTGTTGCCCAGGCTGGAGTGCAGTGGTGTGATCTTGGCTCACTGCAACCTCCACCTCCTGAGTTCAAGCAATTCTCCTGCCTCCGTCTCCTGAATAGCTCCATCTCCAATTACAGGTGCACACCACCACGCCTGGGTAATGGTTTGTATTTTAGTAGAAACAGGGTTTCGTTGTGTTGCCCAGGCTGCTCTCGAACTCCTGAGCTCAGGCAATCTGCCCAACTTGGCCTCCCAAACTGCCAGGATTACAGGCGTGAGCCACCGCATCTGCCCTTAATTTTTTTATTTTTTTTTACAGACAGGGTCACACTGTGTGACACAGGCTGGTCTTGAGCTCCTAGTTCAAGCAATTCTCCTGCCTCAACCTCTCAAAGTGTTGGGATTACAGGCCATAGTGAGCCATCGTGCCCGGCCATACTTGGTACTTTTTGTTTGTTTGTTTCTGAGATGGAGTCTCCCTCTGTCACCCAGGCTGGAGTGCAGTGGTACAATATTGGCTCATTGCAACCTTCGCCTCCCAGGTTCAAGCCATCCTCCCTAGTAGCTGGGACTACAGGCATGCACCACCATGCCTGACTAATTTTTGCATTTTTAGTAGAGACAGGGTTTCACCACGTTGGCCAGGCTGGTCTCAAACTCCTGATCAGGAGTGCTCACAGTCAAGTGCTGGGGTCAGCAAGTTATTTCTTTTTCTTTTTTTTTTTTTTTTT